GTTAGGTTTTTTTGAATGGTTTCTGTTTTTTTGTTGTTTTTATGTGTTCTCTTGGGATGTTGTATGTGTTGGGTTTGGTTTAATTTTTTTTGGATTTAGGATTTTTTTTTTTCTTGGTTTTGTTTTGTTTGTTTGGTTTTGATTTGTTTTGGGTGGCTGTTGGTTTTTTGGGTGGGAGGGTTGGGTGGTTTTGTGGGGATTATGTGTGTTGTTATGTATTGTGGTGGGGTTTGGTTCTTTGAATGAGAATGTTTTTGGTGATGTTGTGTGGTTAGGGTTGGGCGTTTGAGGTGGGATTTTGGCCACCTGTGTTTTTTATTCTGGATAGTGGGGGGTGTCCACAGACCCCGCCCCGTTAGCTCCACGGATGGTTATGTTCTGCCTCTCTTTGATTTTACACTATTGTTTATGGCCGGGGTTTAGACATAGTTGTATGTGTTTTATTGTTTTTTATTTGATTTTTTGTTTTTATTTTCGTTGTGGTTTTGTTGATTTTGTTTGTTTTGATGGTGTATGGGATTGGTGGGTGTTTTGTTTGTGTGTGGTTGGTTTTTGTGTGGGGGGTATTGGGGGGTGGGAGTTGATGGTTTTTGGGTGGTGTTTTGTTATAGGGGGTTTTGGTGTGGATTTGTAAGATTGGGGTGTTAGGTGTTGGAGTTTTTTTGGTTTGGGCTGGGGTTAATTGTTTGGTTGGTGGTTTTGGGGTTGTTTTGTTTTTTTTTTTTTGGTTCATTTTTGTGTTCTTGCGGTAGGTGTGTTGTTGTCTTGTTTGTATTGTTTGTTTGGATTTGTTTGTGAAAGGTTTTTTATTTTGGTGGGGCTTGGGGGTTGGTTGGTGATGGTGGGGTGAGTGGTTGTGGTTGTTTTTGTTAGGTTATTTTAATTTTTTTTGTTGGGGGTTTTTTGTTGGTTTTTTTTTGTGTTGGTTTCGGTGGTTTTTGGTTTTTTTGGCTTGTTTGGGGTTTTTGGGGTGGGTTCGCTTTTTTTTGGGTTGGTTTGGTTGTTGTTTTTTGTTCCTTGTGCGGGGGTGATTTTTGGGTATCGGTGTGGGTGTTTGGGTTTGTTTTAAGGTTTGATGGTATTGGTTGTTTTTCTGATTGGGTGTTGTTGTGGTGTTTTGTGTGTTTAATTTTTTTTGGGGTTGTTATTGGTTTTTGGGAGTTGTTTTTGTTTTTGTGGGACAATTTGGGTTTTGGCTTTGGTTGGTTTGTTTCTTTGTTGATTTTTGTGGGGTGGTGGGTTTTTTTTTATTGTGTTTTTGGTTGTCATATTTTGGTGTTAGGGTTTTCATAGTTTGTGTGTTTTTGTGTGGTGGGGGTTGTTGGGACTTTGTGTGTTATCGGTTTTTGTTATTTTTTTTTTGGGGGTTTTATTTTGAGGTTTTTAGCTTTTGTTGGTTTAGGAGTTTTGTTTGGGGGTTTGTGGTGGTTGTTGGTTATAATATGTAGGGTGGAGTTTCATTTGTTTATTGTGATTGGGGGGTTGGGTTTTGGTTTTGTTTTTGTTTTTTTTGTAATTTTTTGGGTCGTTTAGGGCTCGTTTTTTGTTTTGTTATGGGTTTTGTGTGTTTCTTGGGGGTTTTGGGTGTAATTTTTTTTGCTTTGTGGTGGAGTGCGTATTGTTTTTTTAGTGGGTTCTTGGTTGTTTTGGTGTTTTTTGGTGTTTGATAGTTCTTTTGGTTGTTTTTTTGTTGGGTGTTGGTTTTGGGTGGTGTTTTTTTTTGTGTGTTAGTGTAATTTGGGTTGTTTGTTTCTTAGTTGTGGTTTCTTTGTCATTTCTCTGTTGTTTGTTGTTTTTGTTGTGTTTTTTTTGGGGTTTTGGTTGGGGTTTTGGGGGTAATTTATTGGGGTTTGTTGTTGTGTTTGTGTTTCTGTGGTGGGTTTTGGGTTTTTGAGTGGTGAGTGGGTGGGGTGGTTTTTTTTTTTGGTGTTGTGCGGTAGGTGGGGGTTTTTTTTGGGTTTTGTGTTTTGGTTTTTTGGCGTTGCTTGCTTACATTGGTTTTTGGTATTTTGTTTGGGTTGGGATTATTTGGTAGGTTTTTGTGTTGTTGGTTTTTGGTTTACTGCTTTTTTTTTGGGTTGTTTTTTTGGTTTTTTTTCGGGTTTTTTTAGATGGGGTGATGTTGGGTGGGGTTTAGGTTTTGTTTATTCGGTTTTTTCTTGGTTGTTTTGGGTGGGGCGGGTTTTTGTTTTCTTGTTTTTTGGTTTTTGTTTTGGTTTTGTGTTAATTTTTATGGGGGATTTGGTTTTTTTTTGTTTAGATGGGTTGTTTGGGGTTTTTTTGGTGGGGGTTTTTGCTTCTGTTTTGGGGAGGGGGGTTTTGTTGGGATTGTTGGTGGTTTGGGTTGGGGTGTTTGTTTTTTGTTTTTTTGTTTTTTGTATTTTTTTTTTGTGGTTTGGTGTTTTTTGTTGTTTTGGTAGTTTTGGTGTGGGTGGTGGTATTTATTTGGGTTTATAAATTTGTTGTGTGTTTTGTGGTTTGTTTTGCTTTGTTTTTTTTTGTAATGGGGTGTTTTTTTTGGGTTTTTTTTTTTTTTTTGGGGGTGATTGGTTGGGGGGGGAAAAGTTTTTTTTTTGGGTTGGGGGTTCGGGTTGGGTGGGCTTTTGTTTTTTTTTCCCGGGTTTTGGGGTTTAAAAGGGGGTTGTTTTTTTTTTTTGGGGAAACCCCCGGGGGAGGGGGTTTTTTGTTATTGGGAAAAAAAAAAAAATTTTTTTTTTTTTTCCCCTTTTATTTTTTTTAAAATTTTTTTGTATTTGTAATAAATATTCCTATTGGTAAAAAAAAAAAAAAAATATATTTTTTATTTATAAAATATTATATATATTATTATTTTATATATTTATTATATTCATATATATTTTATTTATACCTCTGCAGAAAAGGTTTTGTCAATTAGGTTGTATTATACCTGATTTTTTCTGGCCCTTGTTCGATATTTTTCGGGCATTTATCTTCTAAATTTAATAAATAAAATGTAATAATAATTTTGAGACATTTTCCAGCAAATAAGTTATTTATATTGTTTTTTGTAGTGAGACTGGTCAGGTCAGGTCAGGTCAGGTCAGGGTCAGGTCGGGTTTGAGGTTAGGTTAGGTAAGGTGGTTAGGTTAGGTGGTTGGTTAGGGTCGGGTTTTAGGGTTAGGTGGTCGGGTTTTAGGTTGGGTCAAGGTCAGGTTTGGTTGGGTTTCAGGTCATTAGGTAGGTCAGGTGGAGGTCAGGTTGGGTGAGGTCAGGTAGGTTGGTTGGGTAGGTCGGTTAGGTTAGGTTGGTAGGTTAGGTTAGGTCAGGTAAGGTTAGGTTAGGTCAGGTATTTTTTAGTCTTAGGTGAGGTCGGTCGGGGGCAGGTTATTTGAGGTGTAGGTCAGGTCGGGTTTAGGTCAGGTTGGTCAGGTCGGGTTTGGTTGGGTCAGATCAGGTCAGTTTTAGGTTAGGTTAGGCAGGTCAGGTTGGTTAGGTCAGGTCAGGTCGGTTAGGTTAGGTCAGATCGGTCAGCTTGGGTTAGGTTGGGTTAGGTCAGTGGGTCAGTAGGTCGGTGGTTAGTGTTGGTTGGTAGGTTAGGTTAGGTCGGGTTTTAGGTGGGGGGTTAGGTTGGTTAGGTCAGGTTGGGTTTAGGTTAGGTTAGGTCAGGTCAGGGTCGGTTAGGTCAGGTTAGTTGGTCAGGGTTTAGGTCAGGTTGGTAGGTAGGTTAGGTTGGTCAGGTCAGGTTGGTCGGTTTGGTACTGAAAGGAAAATTTCACAGGTGACCGGGCCCTGCAGGTTACTAGTCTGTACTGGACCAGGCCTGCCTGCTGGTTAGAGCTACCTGTTCAGCAGGTTTTTTAGTGCCAGTATAAGGGACAATAAAATACCTGTTTGTACAAGTGTCCAGGGGAACAATACTTTTTTAGCACAAGTGTCCAGGGGTACAATACTTTTTTAGTACAAGCGTCCAGGGTACAATACTGTTTAGTCAGGTTTTCCAGGGAACAATACCTGTTTTAGTACAGGGTCCAGGGTCATTACTCTTTTAGTCGGGGGTTCCGGGGGTACATTCCTGTTTAGTACAAGTGTCCAGGGTACAATCCGGGTTTAGTTACGGGTTTGTCCAGGGAATAATACCGTTTTATTTACAGGTGTCCAGGGTACTTGGTTTAGTCAGGTGCCAGGGTACATACCTGTTTAGTACAAGTGTCCAGGGTACAATACCTGTTTAGTACAGGTGTCCAGGGTACAATACCTGTTTAGTACCGGTGTCCAGGGTAAAATACGGGTTTAGTCAGGTTTGTCCAGGGAACATTACTGTTTAGTACAGGTTTGTCCAGGTTAAATATCTGTTTGTACAGGTGTCCAGGGAACAATACCTGTTTAGTCCGGGTTTGGCCAGGGGACAATACCTGTTTGTACGGGTTGTCGGGAAAATACCTGTTTAGTACAGGTGTCCAGTACAATTTTTGTTTAGTACGGTTGCCCAAACAATACCTGTTTGTACCGGTGTCCAGGGAACAATCCTGTTTAGTAAGGTGTCCGGGGTTTAAATACTGTTTAGTAAGGTGTCCAGGGTACAATACTGTTTAGTACAAGTGTCCAGGGAACAATACCTGTTTAGAAGGGTTTTGTCCAGGTTTTAACAATACCTTTTTTAAAATACAGGTTCAGGGTACAATACTGTTTAGTACCGGTGTCCAGGAACAATACTGTTTTAGTACCGGGTCCAGGGTTACAATACCTGTTTAGTAAGGTTCCAGGAAAAATACCTTTTTAGTACAGGTGTCCAGGGAACAATACCTGTTTAGTACAGGTGTCCAGGGTACAATACCTGTTTAGTACAGGTGTCCAGGGTACAATACCTGTTTAGTACAAAGTTTTTCCAGGTACAAACCTGTTTATACAGGTGTCCAGGAACAATACCTGTTTAGTACAAGTGTCCAGGGTACAATACTTTAGTACAAGTGTCCAGGGAACAATAGTACAAGTGTCCAGGGTACAATACCTGTTTAGTACAGGTGTCCAGGGAACAATACCTGTTTAGTACCGGTGTCTAGGATAGCGTAGGTGGTGGTTGGCGTCTCACTGTTGTGAACAATATGCATCTTGCGTACACCACCACCTGCAACACCTGCAACACAGGAAAAACACCTGTTAAGTGACACACACACGTGTAAAATACGTTAGATGACACACACACCTGTTAAATGACACAAGCACACCAAAAACACATGTTTAGATGACACAAACACTCGGTAAATACCCATTACATGACACAAATTCACAATAAACACCTGCTACATGACACGAACACTGGTAAGACACCTGTTACATGGAACAATGGTAAAACATCTGTTATGTGACACAAACACTGGTAAAACACCTGTTACGTGACACAAACACTGGTAAAACACCTGTTAAGTGACACAAACACTGGTAAAACACCTGTTAAGTGACACAAACACTGGTAAAACACCTGTTAAGTGACACAAACACTGGTAAAACACCTGTTAAGTGACACAAACACTGGTAAAACACCTGTTACGTGACACAAACACTGGTAAAACACCTGTTGTGACACCCAACACTGTAAACACCTGTACGGACCAAACACTGGTAACACCTGTTACGTGACCAAACACGGTAAAACACCTGTTCGTGCACAAACACTGGTTTTATAAACACCTGTTACGTGGACAACAACACTGGGTTTTAAAACCCTGTTACGTGACAAACTGTGTAACAGGTGTTTAAGCAACACTCGGTAAGGATGCCTAAGGGATGGTTTAGAATGGGTTGGATTGGGTAAGAAATGGTAAGAAGGAAAAGGGTGACGAATGGTAGTGAATGGGTAAGGAATGGGAAGGAAATGGATAAGGAATAGGTGCAGAATGGGTGAGAAATGGACGAGGAAATGGGTAGGGAAAAGGGAAAAGAATGAGTGAAGAATGGGGAGGGGTGGTAGGGAATGGGTAGGGATGGGTAGGAATGGGAAGGAAAATTTAAATGATGGGGAAAAAAGGGTTAAAAAAAAAAAAAAAAAAAAAAAAAAAAAAGGGTGGGAAAAATGGGTGTGGTGGGGTGAGGAAAAAGGGGAAAAAGGTAAGAATGGGTGGGGATGGGTGAGGAAAAGGGGGGGGAATGGGTAGGAATGTGTGGGGAATGGGTGAGGAATGTGTGGGGAATGGGTGGGGGGGGAATGGGGGAGGAAAAGGGTGAGGGGAATGTGTGGGGGAATGGGTGGGAATGTGTGGAGAATGGGTGAGGAATGGGAGGAATGGATGTGAAAAGGGTGGGGAATGGGTGGGAATGGGTGGGGAATGTGTGGGGGGTTGGGGGTGGGGGTAGGTGAGGAATGGGGGTGGGAATGGGTGGGGAAAGAAAAGGGAAAAAGGGGGGGGGAAATGGGGGGGGGAATATTTTTGGGGAGGAAATTGGGTGAGGAAAAGGGTGGGGAATGGGGGGTTTGGGGGGGGGAATGGGTAAGGAAACTGGTAAGGGTGGGGTTAGACGGGTTCATGAGGACTGCTGGGACAGGCCTGGTGGTCTTAAGTTGCTGGGTGTTAGCTGGGGGGTGGCTGGTGTCTTCAAGGTGGTGTCTGGTGGCTGGTGTGTAGACCCGCTGTCTGTGGCCCTGGTGGGGTTGGGTGAGGGGTGTCTTAGGCCCTGGTGGGCAGACTGGTGGATTGAAGATGGATGTCTTAAACCCATGTGTTTAAGATCTGATGTAAGATTGGGAATTAGGCATGGTAGAATGGTGTAAAGTGTGGATGAAATGAAAGCTGGGGAAATGAGATATGTAATGGACAACGCTGAGAAGGTGGGCGATAGTGGGAATGATTCAAAACCTAATGTTTCAAGACACTATTTAAACTGGTAGTAAAACCTGTATAAATGAGCTAAGCTCAAATTCATGACTGGATCTTAAACCGTAGAATCTAACCTGGCTTCCCCTTTGTCATACCCAAGGTAGTATTAAAGACCTGTTGCTCAATGAGACACTGTTCAAAGACCCTGAGTCTTCAAGACCCTGGTTGATTCAACCTGAGTCTTCAAGACCCTGGTCTTAAAGAGGGTGAGGATCGCACCTAAAGTCAGTAACTGACCACAACGCATGTGGAAAAACAACGATGGTTATACGTGTGGTGAGTAACAATGAACTTCGATCAACAGTGTCACGTGATAACACCACGAGGTCCAGTCGTGAACAAGCAGTTAGGGGCATGACCCTGGAACACCGACCAGGTAACTCCAAGTATACATAGATACACTAAGATATTACACTGTGAGAACAGTGAATGTAGAATGAAGAAAAGTAGAGGAGAGAAAAGAGAGGTAGAAAGAGGAAGAAGATGGGTGAGGAAAAGAGTTCAGAAATGTGGACGAGGAGAGTGAGAAGAAGTACTCTAAAATTATTGATTGAGTCGGACCTGCAAGAACCACTACTCAACTCCACAAAAACCTATCACCATGCAACACCAGCAAATTGCAACACCACCAAACCTTCACCCACAAACTCGACCCAGCTCAATTCGCCACCAAAATCGCACAGACTAGACTCCAACCACCTGACCACCTCACCAAATCCAACTGCACCATCACCTCACAAATCACCAACCGTACTAAACTGTCTTCAACTCTAAAACTATCACACCAACTAAACTATTCTACCCAAACTCACACAAACTTCACCCACCAACCCACCAACTACACCAACCAAACTACACAAAGGTCTAACGTTAAACTAACCACCAACACCACATCTTAACTTTCAAACCTACACCAAGATACTTCAACCCACAAGGTAACTCACTCACCAACCACCAAACTAGCACAGTAAACCATAACACCTCATAATTGTTATTTACCATCCATCAACGGCATAACTTTTACTACACATATATCACAATGAACCAACTCTAACCAAAAAACTCAACCCCCAACCTCAACAACCAAACCAACGCACCAACCACCAAACTCACCCACAATCACCAAAACTACAAACCCACATCTCACCCACCAAACTCAACCCACCCAAATCACCACCAAATCACAAACCCACCCCAACCACCAAATCCACCAACCAAAAATCACCAACACCAAACTCACACACCTCACCACCACCAAACACACCCACCCAAACCAATCAGACACCACCAAACCACACCACTCAACCCACCAAACTCCCCCACAAAAAGGGGGAAAAAAAAAAAGGGGGGGGTTTTTTTGGGGGGAAAAAGGGGGGTTTTAAAAAAATTTTTTAAATTTTTTTAGAAAATTTAATTGGGGAAAAAAAAATTTTCCCCAAAAAAAATTTTTAAAAAAAAAAAAAAAAAAAAAAAAATTTTTTTTTAAAAAAAAAAATTAAAAAAAATTAAAAAAAAAACCCCCCCCCCCAAAAAAAAAAAAAATTTTTTTTTTTAAAAAAAAAAAAAAAAAAAAAAAAAAATTTAAAAAAAAAAATTTTAAAAAAAAAATAAAAAATAAAAAAAAAGAAAAAAAAAATAAAAAAAAATTTAAAAAAAAAAAAAAAAAAAAAAAAAAAAAAAAAAATTTAAAAAAAAACCCCCCAAAAAAACCCCCCCAAAAAAAAAAAAAAAACCCCCCCAAAAAATTTCCCCAAAAAAAATAAAAAAAAAAATTTTTAAAAAAAAAAACCCCCCCCCTTTCCCCCCCCCAAAAAAAAAACCCTAAAAAAACCCCCCCCCAAAAAAAAAAAAAAAATTTTTAAAAAACCCCCCCCCCCCCCCTTTTTTTTTTTAAAAAATTTTTCCCCCCCCCCAAAAAAAAAAAAAAAACCCCCCCCAAAAAAACCCCCCCCAAAAAACCCCCCCAAAAAAAAAATTTTTTAAACCCCCCAAAAAAAAAAAATTTTTAAAAAAAAAAAAAACCCCCCCCCCCGAATTTTTAAAAAAAAAAAAAAAAAAAAAAAAAAAAAACCCAAAAAAATTTTTAAAAAAAAAAAAAATTTTTAATTTAAAATTATAAATAATAAATAAATTAGTTTTTAAAATTTTAAAATTAATATTTTAAATTTAAATTTTTAAATAATAAATTGTAATTAATTTAAAATATTAAATTTGTTAATATTTAATTAAAAATTTATCAAAAATTTCAACAATTGATATTTAAACTTATAATTTAGATAAATAATCTAATAATTTAGTAAATAAAAACAATAAAAAAAAAAAAAAAAAAATAACAAACCATTAAAATTTTACAAACCAATAAAAATTTCAACCCCACCAAATCCACCACAATTACCAAACCACAAATACCATAACCCAACTTCACCACCAACGCACCAAATCACACAATATTACCAAACCACCAAATCACAACAAAAATTTTCGACCACCAAATAAATTCACCTCAATTTACCAATCACCACCAACCACCAAATCACCCCAACCCACCCAACCAACCAAACTCACCACCCAACCCACCACAACCACAAAACTCACCCACAACGCACCAAAACTCACCACCAACTTCACCAAAATCCCCCACCAAAACCCACCCAAACTCACCCACCAACCCACCAAACTCACCCACCAACCCACACAAACTCACCACCAAAACCACCACCAACACCACAAACTCAAACCACCCAACCACGAAACTCACCCACAAACTCACCCACCCAACCCACCTAACTCACCCACCAACCCACCAAACTCACCCACCAACCCACCAAACTCCACCACCAACCCACCAAACTCACCCACCCAACCACCAAACTCACCCACCAAACTCACCACCAACCCACCAACTCACCCAACCCAACCCACCAAACTCACCCCCAACCCACCAAACTCACCCACCCAACCACCAATCTCACCCACGAACCCACCAAACTCACCCACCCAACCCACCAAACTCACCCACCCAGCCCACCAAAACTCACCCACCCAACCCACCAAAACTCACCCACCAACCCCCCAAACTCACCCACCAACCCACCAAATTCACCCACCAAAACCCCCCAAACTCACCCACCCCAAACCCCCCAAACTCACCCACCAAATCACCACCCAAACCCACCAAACTCACCCACCCAACCCACCCACCAATCCACCAAACTCACCCACCAACCCACCAAACTCACCCACCAACCCACCAAACTCACCCACCAAACTCACCCACCAAAACTACGAAATTCATCCACCAACCCACCAAACTCACCCACCCAACCACCAAACTCACCCACCAACCCACCAAGCTCACCCACCCAACCCACCAAACTCATCCACCAACCACCAAACTCACCCACCAACCCACCAAGCTCACCCACCCAACCCAACAACCCACCAAAAATCACCACCAACCCACCAAACTCACCCACCAACCCACCAAACTCACCCACCAACCCACCAAACTCACCCACCAACCCACAAAACTCTCCCACCAACCCACCAAACTCCCCCACCAACCCACCAAACTCATCCACCAACCCACCAAACTTCCCCACCAACCCACCAAACTCACCCACCAACCCACGAAACTCACCCACCAACCCACGAAACTCACCCAAAAATTCACATAATCATGGTAATGTGGGTGTGTGGGTTACTGTGGGTGTGTGGTTTACTGTGGGTGTGTGGGTTACTGTGGGTGTGTGGTTTACTGTGGGTGTGTGGGTTACTGTGGGTGTGTGGGTTACTGTGGGTGTGTGGGTTACTGTGGGTGTGTGGGTTACTGTGGGTGTGTGGGTTACTGTGGGTGTGTGGGTTACTTTTGGGTGTGGGGGTTACTGTGGGTGTGGGGGGTTAGTGTGGGTGTGTGGGTTACTGTGGGTGTGTGGGTTACTGTGCGTGTGGGGGTTACTGTGGGTGTGTGGGTTTGTGTGGGTGTGTGGGTTACTGTGGGTGTGTGGATTAGTGTGGGTGTGGGGGTTACTGTGGGTGTGTGGGTTACTGTGGGTGTGTGGGTTACTGTGGGTGTGTGGGTTAGTGTGGGTGTGTGGGTTACTGTGGGTGTGTGGGTTACTGTGGGTGTGTGGGTTACTGTGGTGTGTGGGTTTCTGTGGGTGTGTGGGTTACTGTGGGTGTGTGGGTTACTGTGGGTGTGGGTTACTGTGGGTGTGTGGGTTACTGTGGGTGTGTGGGTTACTGTGAGTGTGTGGGTTACTGTGGGTGTGTGGGTTACTGTGGGTGTGTGGGTTACTGTGGTGTGTGGGTTACTGTGGGTGTGTGGGTTACTGTGGTGTGTGGGTTACTGTGGTGTGTGGGTTACTGTGGGGTTGTGTGGGTTACTGTGAGTGTGTGGGTTACTGTGAGTGTTTGGGTTACTGTGGTGTGTGGGTTACTGTGGGTGTGTGGGTTACTGTGGGTGTGTGGGTTACTGTGGGTGTGTGGGTTACTGTGGTGTGTGGGTTACTGTGGGTGTGTGGGTTACTGTGTGTGTGGGTTACTGTGTGTGTGTTTGGTTACTGTGTGTGTGTGGTTACTGTGTGTGTGTGGGTTACTGTGGGTGTGTGGGTTAGTGTGGGTGTGTGGGTTACTGTGGGTGTGGGTTACTGTGGGTGTGTGGGTTACTGTGGGTGTGTGGGTTACTGTGGGTGTGTGTTACTGTGGGTGTGTGGGTTACTGTGGGTGTGTGGGTTACTGTGGGTGTTGGGTTACTGTGGGTGTGTTACTGTGTGTGTGTGGGTTACTGTGGGTGTGTGGTTACTGTGGGTGTGTGGGTTACTGTGGGTGTGTGGGTTAGTGTGGGTGTGTGGGTTACTGTGGGTGTGTGGGTTACTGTGGGTGTGTGGGTTACTGTGGTGTGTGTGGGTTACTGTGGTGTGTTACTGTGGGTGTGTGGGTTACTGTGGGTGTGTGGGTTACTGTGGGTGTGTGGGTTACTGTGGGTGTGGTTACTGTGGTGTGTGTGGGTTTACTGTGTGTGTGTGGGTTACTGTGGGTGTGTGGGTTACTGTGGGTGTGTGGGTTACTGTGGGTGTGTGGGTTACTGTGGGTGTGTTACTGTGTGTGTGTGGGTTACTGTGGGTGTGTGGGTTACTGTGGGTGTGTGGGTTACTGTGGGTGTGTGGGTTACTGTGGTGTGTGTGGGTTACTGTGGGTGTGTGGGTTACTGTGTGTGTGTGGGTTACTGTGTGTGTGTGGGTTACTGTGGTGTGTGGGTTACTGTGGGTGTTTTTGTGTGTGTGGGTTACTGTGGGTGTGTGGGTTACTGTGGGTGTGTGGGTTACTGTGGGTGTGTGGGACTCTCGGTGAGAAGCCGGGTTCGACTCTCAGCTTTGGAGTATTTTAGCCATCCAGAATATTCTTTAATTTACATAAGAAACATATACCAACCTACATCAAGGTCACAGTGAAATGTGTACAGCCTTGATTACTATAATAGACTACCAACCTACATCAAGGTCACAGTGCAACATGTACATCCTTGATTACTATAATAGACTACCTACCTACGTCAAGGTCGCACTGCGATATGTGCATCCTTGCTTCCCATAACAATGCACATCAAGGTCACAGTGTGATATGTCCTTGATTACGATAACAGACTATCTACATCAAGGTCACAGTGCCATATATACAACCCAGCGGAAAGTTGAGAGTTCTCTCCTCGCAGCGCCTGTGTTTAAGTCTTGTTAGTCCGATTAGTGAACACAGGTTCGGGCCGCTAGCACACAACACCAGCAGCAACAGTGTGATTGCAAACTCAAATATTAGAAGAGGAACTTAGACAAGGAACTTTAAGGAACTTGGAACTTACTGACAATTTGTAATCCTGAACTACTGTCAAGTCGCAACTCAGGGAGAGATTGGGGGACGGAGGGAGAGTACGCCACTTACCAGCATGGGCAGTAGTATAGTGTCACAGTCGACAGTGAACATGCTACTGTGTAGCATCAAGGTACTTACCAGCATGGGCAGTAGTATAGTGTCACAGTCGACAGTGAACATGCTACTGTGTAGCATCAAGGTACTTAACAGTGTGGGCAGTAGTACAGTGTCACAGACAACAGTGAACATGCTACTGTGTAGCATCAAGGTACTTACCAGCATGGGCAGTAGTATAGTGTCACAGTCGACAGTGAACATGCTACTGTGTAGCATCAAGGTACTTAACAGTGTGGGCAGTAGTACAGTGTCACAGTCAACAGTGAACATGCTACTGTGTAGCATCAAGGTACTTACCAGCATGGGCAGTAGTAGAGTGTCACAGTCGACAGTGAACATGCTACTGTGTAGCATCAAGGTACTTAACAGTGTGGGCAGTAGTACAGTGTCACAGTCAACAGTGAACATGCTACTGTGTAGCATCAAGGTACTTACCAGCATGGGCAGTAGTATAGTGTCACAGTCGACAGTGAACATGCTACTGTGTAGCATCAAGGTACTTAACAGTGTGGGCAGTAGTACAGTGTCACAGTCAACAGTGAACATGCTACTGTGTAGCATCAAGGTACTTACCAGCATGGGCAGTAGTATAGTGTCACAGTCGACAGTGAACATGCTACTGTGTAGCATCAAGGTACTTAACAGTGTGGGCAGTAGTACAGTGGGCACAGTCAACAGTGAACATGCTACTGTGTAGCATCAAGGTACTTACCAGCATGGGCAGTAGTATAGTGTCACAGTCGACAGTGAACATGCTACTGTGTAGCATCAAGGTACTTAAACAGTGTGGGCAGTAGTACAGTGTCACAGTCAACAGTGAACATGCTACTGTGTAGCATCAAGGTACTTACCAGCATGGGCAGTAGTATAGTGTCACAGTCGACAGTGAACATGCTACTGTGTAGCATCAAGGTACTTAACAGTGTGGGCAGTAGTACAGTGTCACAGTCAACAGTGAACATGCTACTGTGTAGCATCAAGGTACTTACCAGCATGGGCAGTAGTATAGTGTCACAGTCGACAGTGAACATGCCACACTGTGTAGCATCAAGGTACTTACCAGCATGGGCAGTAGTGTAGTAAGTGTCACAGTCGACAGTGAACATGCTACTGTGTAGCATCAAGGTACTTAACAGTGTGGGCAGTAGTACAGTGTCACAGTCGACAGTGAACATGCCACACTGTGTAGCATCAAGGTACTTACCAGCATGGGCAGTAGTGTAGTAAGTGTCACAGTCGACAGTGAACATGCTACTGTGTAGCATCAAGGTACTTAACAGTGTGGGCAGTAGTACAGTGTCACAGTCGACAGTGAACATGCCACACTGTGTAGCATCAAGGTACTTACCAGCATGGGCAGTAGTGTAGTAAGTGTCACAGTCGACAGTGAACATGCTACTGTGTAGCATCAAGGTACTTAACAGTGTGGGCAGTAGTACAGTGTCACAGTCAACAGTGAACATGCCACACTGTGTAGCATCAAGGTACTTACCAGCATGGGCAGTAGTGTCACAGTCGACAGTGAACATGCCACACTGTGTAGCATCAAGGTACTTACCAGCATGGGCAGTAGTGTAGTAAGTGTCACAGTCGACAGTGAACATGCCACACTGTGTAGCATCAAGGTACTTACCAGCGTGGGCAGTAGTGTAGTAAGTGTCACAGTCGACAGTGAACATGCCACACTGTGTAGCATCAAGGTGCATAATTCTCTTGTGTAACTTCTCTGTTTCAAGGCATCCGGAACGGGAGGCATCAGGGAAGATTTGTAACCTGTTAACAGAGGCATTAGCAACGGTTAGATGCACCTAACTCTTAAAATTGGGTGGGTGAGAAAGGCTTAGGTTAGGTTAAATAGGTGTCAGTTGACTGTTGTAGGTGGCATCATGGGCAGTATGTACGTGGGTGTCAGATAATTGTGGGTGGTATCATGAGCAGTAAGTAGGTACATTGGTATTAGCTGACTGTTGTGGGTATCATGGGCAGGAAGTAGGTACCTCGGTATTAGCTGTTGTGGGTATCATGGGCAGGAAGTAGGTACCTCGGTATTAGCTGTTGTGGGTATCATGGGCACGAAGTAGGTACCTCGGTATTAGACGACTGTTGTGGGTATCATGGGCAGGAAGTACTAGGTATTAGCTGACTGTTGTATCATGGGCAGGAAGTAGTTACCTTGGTATTAGCTGTTGTGGGTATCATGGACAGGAAGTAGGTACTTTGGTATTAGCTGACTGTTGTGGGTATCGTGGACAGGAAGTAGGTACTTTGGTATTAGCTGACTGTTGTGGGTATCATGGACAGGAAGTAGATACCTTGCTATTAGCTGACTGTTATGGGTATCACGGGCACCAGGGTGTTGGGCGAGTGTCGTGGGTGTTATCCTGGGCAGTAAGTAGGTACCAGGGTGTTGACAGTCATGGGTGGCTTATTGGGCAGTAGGTACCAGGGGGGTGTTAGACGAGTATTGTGGGTGGCATCCTGGGCAGGGTGAGACTGCGCTAAATCCATAGGGGGTCACAGCGCCTGGGTGGGGGACAGAAGACCATCAGTTTCGATTCAAGGAAGAAGTCCACTTCCTCGGATCAACAACCCTTCGCCGACACCAAAAAAAAAAAATTTAGTAGTATCCCTTAAAACTAACAGAAAATGGAAATATTCACATAGAGAAAACTGACCCATTAACGGGCAGACTATAACATATTTAACAACTTTTACATAAACTAATTCTATATAAAATAACTTTTAACTACAACATTAGAGCGCTATGATGACCTCCCGGTTCTTCTAGATTGTTTAAATTGATCTCTCGTATTATTCTTACTGAAACCTGGCTTAAGGAGGCCTGGTCTCAGACCGGGCCGCGGGGGCGTTGACCCCCGGAACTCTCTCCAGGTAAACTCCAGGTAAACTTACCAGCATGGGCAGTAGTATAGTGTCACAGTCGACAGTGAACATGCCACACTGTGTAGCATCAAGGTACTTACCAGTGTGGGCAGTAGTACAGTGTCATGCCACCAGGCCCGGTGGCCCGGTGGCCTGGTGGCCTGGTGACTAAAGCTCCCGCTTCACACACGGAGGGCCCGGGTTCGATTCCCGGCGGGTGGAAACATTCCGACACGTTTCCTTACACCTGTTGTCCTGTTCACCTAGCAGCAAATAGGTACCTGGGTGTTAGTCGACTGGTGTGGGTGGCATCCTGGGGGACAAGATTAAGGACCCAATGGAAATAAGTTAGACAGTCCTCGATGACGCACTGACTTTCTTGGGTTATCCTGGGTGGCTAACCCTCCGGGGTTAAAAATCCGAACGAAATCTTATCTTATCTCTCACACACACACTAACGTGATACACTGCCATTCACAACTGCTGTGGGTATCATGGACAGGAAGTACCTTGGTATTAGCTGATTGTTGTGGGTATTATAGGCAGGAAGCAGGTACTTTGGTATTAGCTGAGTGTTGTGGGTATCATGGACAGGAAGTACCTTGGTATTAGCTGAATGTTGTGGGTATTATGGGCAGGAAGCAGGTACTTTGGTATTAGCTGAGTGTTGTGGGTATCATGGACAGGAAGTACCTTGGTATTAGCTGATTGTTGTGGGTATTATGGGCAGGAAGCAGGTACTTTGGTATTAGCTAAGTGTTGTGGGTATCATGGACAGGAAGTACCTTGGTATTAGCTGATTGTTGTGGGTATCATGGACAGGAAGTAGGTACCTGCTGTTCTAATGAACTATTACGCTGTAAGTGTACAGGCTTAAGACATGAATATGGTAACTAAACATTTGCTAAATTTTCTGCAGAAGACCCCGAGTGTCCCTTTACGATTGTTGTAATCAGTCTTGAGGATACCTCACAAAAATATCTCAACCTATCGTGCTAAAACTAACAACAAGCAATTGAACAAGCATTACCGACCACTTGCTGGCGAGTTCAACATTTGGCCTGACCGAGGATCAATCACCAGTAACGTTACTGCTGGCGCTGCTGGTGTTGTTGCTACTTCTGTTACTGCTGGTGCTGGTGTTGCTGCTGTTGTTGCTACTTCTGTTACTGCTGGTGTTGGTGTTGCTGGTACTTCTGTTACTGCTGGTGCTGGTGTTGCTGGTACTTCTGTTACTGCTGGCGCTGCTGGTGTTGTTGCTACTTCTGTTACTGCTGGTGCTGGTGTTGCTGCTGTTGTTGCTACTTCTGTTACTGCTGGTGCTGGTGTTGCTGGTACTTCTGTTACTGCTGGTGCTGGTGTTGCTGGTACTTCTGTTACTGCTGGCGCTGCTGGTGTTGTTGCTACTTCTGTTACTGCTGGTGCTGGTGTTGCTGCTGTTGTTGCTACTTCTGTTACTGCTGGTGCTGGTGTTGCTGGTACTTCTGTTACTGCTGGCGCTGCTGGTGTTGTTGCTACTTCTGTTACTGCTGGTGCTGGTGTTGCTGCTGTTGTTGCTACTTCTGTTACTGCTGGTGCTGGTGTTGCTGCTACTTCTGTTACTGCTGGTGCTGGTGTTGCTGCTACTTCTGTTACTGCTGGTGCTGGTGTTGCTGGTACTTCTGTTACTGCTGGTGCTGGTGTTGCTGGTACTTCTGTTACTGCTGGTGCTGGTGTTGTTGCTACTTCTGTTACTGCTGGTGCTGGTGTTGCTGTCAGTAACTGACTTCATTAACAAGTATGAACAATTGACTGTTCATACCAGCTATAACTAAACCAACAAGGTTAACAGAGATGAGTGCAACCACAACTGACCATGGACCAATATATTAGTTCCCCTTAAATCTGGGATAATCACATAAACATTTGTAAGGTACCTATTAAATACAGTAAGATCTCAATTCGTCTCAATGACCAGACTTCAATAACTTCCCTACCTAGTTCCACTGACTGGAACATAGACTTCCCTATAGCACCTAGTTCCACTGACTGGAACATAGACTTCCCTATAGCACCTAGTTCCACTGACTGGAACATAGACTTCCCTATAGCACCTAGTTCCACTGACTGGAACATAGACTTCCCTATAGCACCTAGTTCCACTGACTGGAACACAGACTTCCCTACAGCACCTGGTTCCACTGACTGGAACATAAACTTCCCCACAGCACCTGGTTCCACTGACTGGAACATAAACTTCCCCACAGCACCTGGTTCCACTGACTGGAACATAAACTTCCCCACAGCACCTGGTTCCACTGACTGGAACACAGACTTCCCTACAGCACCTAGTTCCACTGACTGGAACATAAACTTCCCCACAGCACCTGGTTCCACTGACTGGAACACAGACTTCCCTACAGCACCTGGTTCCACTGACTGGAACACAGACTTCCCTACAGCACCTGGTTCCACTGACTGGAACACAGACTTCCCCACAGCACCTAGTTCCACTGACTGGAACACAGACTTCCCTACAGCACCTGGTTCCACTGACTGGAACACAGACTTCCCTACAGCACCTGGTTCCACTGACTGGAACACAGACTTCCCTACAGCACCTGGTTCCACTGACTGGAACACAGACTTCCCTACAGCACCTGGTTCCACTGACTGGAACACAGACTTCCCTACAGCACCTGGTTCCACTGACTGGAACACAGACTTCCATACAGCACCTGGTTCCACTGACTGGAACATAGACTTCCCTACAGCACCTGGTTCCACTGACTGGAACACAGACTTCCCTACAGCACCTGGTTCCACTGACTGGAACACAGACTTCCTTACAGCACCTAGTTCCACTGACTGGAACACAGACTTTCCCACAGCACCTAGTTCCACTGACTGGAACCCAGACTTCCCTACAACACCTGGTTCCACTGACTGGAACCGTCTTTCCTACAGCACCTGGTTCCACTGACTGGAACCCAGACTTCCCCACAGCACCTAGTTCCACTGACTGGAACCCAGACTTCCCTACAACACCTGGTTCCACTGACTGGAACCGTCTTTCCTACAGCACCTGGTTCCACTGACTGGAACCCAGACTTCCCTACAGCACCTAGTTCCACTGACTGGAACCCAGACTTCCCTACAACACCTGGTTCCACTGACTGGAACCGTCTTTCCTACAGCACCTGGTTCCACTGACTGGAACCCAGACTTCCCTACAGCACCTAGTTCCAATGACTGGAACCCAGACTTCCCTACAGCACCTGGTTCCACTGACTGGAACCCAGTCTTTCCTACAGCACCTGGTTCCACTGACTGGAACCCAGACTTCCCTACAGCATCTGGTTCCACTGACTGGAACCCAGACTTTCCTACAGCACCTGGTTCCACTGACTGGAACCCAGACTTTCCTACAGCACCTGGTTCCACTGACTGGAACCCAGACTTCCCTACAGCACCTAGTTTCCAATGACTGGAACCCAGACTTTCCTACAGCACCTGGTTCCACTGACTGGAACCCAGACTTTCCTACAGCACCTGGTTCCACTGACTGGAACCCAGACTTTCCTACAGCACCTAGTTCCACTGACTGGAACCCAGACTTTCCTACAGCACCTAGTTCCACTGACTAGAACCCAGACTTTCCTACAGCATCTGGTTCCACTGACTGGAACCCAGACTTCCCTACAGCACCTAGTTTCCAATGACTGGAACCCAGACTTCCCTACAGCACCTAGTTTCCAATGACTGGAACCCAGACTTCCCTACAGCATCTGGTTCCACTGACTGGAACCCAGACTTTCCTACAGCACCTGGTTCCACTGACTGGAACCCAGTCTTTCCTACAGCACCTGGTTCCACTGACTGGAACCCAGTCTTTCCTACAGCACCTGGTTCCACTGACTGGAACCCAGACTTCCCTACTAGTTCCACTGACTGGAACACAAAACTTACATTGTCCTGTAATAACTGAGCAGATCACTACAGAGAGACTAGGTTGCCCATGACTAATAAACACCACCCTCAGATCCATAGAAAAAAAAAACATTACGAGAAACAGTATAGATGGGGCTTAATTAAAGAACATTCTGAAAATTGTACGACAGTCCTTACCAAACTAATAAGAAAGTCCAAACAACTGTTTGGACTTCCTTATTAGTTGTTTGGAAGTCCAAATTTTTCCAAGATTTCTATGGAGCAGAACTCTTTTTCAGACCGAGGAACTGACTACCTCAAAACTACATCTGTAATCGACTGAAAAAGCCTACCTTGTAGGCAAAACATTTCGGAATAAAGATTCTTAACTGTTGCACATGTCTCTACTTATCAATATTTTAAACACCTTAAAACACCCTTAACAACTAACATTCTTAACCCTTAAAAAAAAATCGATAATTAACGTAGTTCTTCCTAAAATTAAGAGAAAATGGTATCATCACATTCACAGAAAATGGATTAATAGGGAAACTTCACAAGATTTAGTAACTTCAATTATTTTTCGTATTTCCTTTCATTTAAGGGGCTCTTGATCCAAGAGATTGGTGTTACGTTTCTCTTCCTCGGATCGAAGCTGATGGCGCCTGGTGGATCGTGTGAGGGACTGTTAGGGTGAGTTGGTGCCAGTGTGACTGCTGAGACTGCAGTAGTGCCACCAGTGTCTGAGTACACCACACACACACACACACACACACACACACACACACACACACACCCAAGCACATCTGAGGAGCACATTAACCAAATAACTGCTGTAGCATACCGGCGCCTGGCAAAACTGAGAATATCATTTCGACATCTAAGGAGTCATTCAAGACACTGTACACTGTGTACATCAGACACTGCTCACCGTGTACGTCAGATACTGTACACCGTGTACTTCAGACACTGTACACCGTGTACGTCAGGACCATATTGGAGTATTATGCAGCACCAGTTTGGAATTGACACCTGGCCAAGCACGTCACAAAATTAGAGAAAGTGCAAAGGTTTGCAACAAGACTAGTCCCAGAGCTGAGGGGTATGTCCTACGAGGAGAGGTTAAA